TTGCGGTGAGCCGAGAACACGCCACTGCACTCCAGCCTGGGCAACGAGAGCAAAACTCCGTCTCAAAAAAAAACAAACAAACAAACAAACAAAAAAAAAATGCTTTTTTATAATGCCCTCAGAATGTTCACAAAAACTGACTATATAATCAGAGACAAAGTAAACTTCAAAAATTCTGAAAAATAAAAATAGTATAATCTAATCAAAATGCAATAAAAATATGAATTATTGACAAATCCACAAAACAAACAAAAAAAAGCCCCTCTACCTGGAAATTTTGAAACTCTAGCAACTCCTTGGGTCACAAAGGAAATAAAACTAAAATTAACACATGTCAGAACTAACAGATGGCCAGGCACAGTGGCTCATGCCTGGAATTCCAACACTTTGGGAGGCCAAAGCAGGAGGATCTGGTTGAGTCCAGGAATTCACAACTAGCATGGTCAACATAACAAGACCCTGACTCTACCGAAAAAAAAAATTTTTTTAATTTAATGTAAAAATTAGCCAGACACGGAGGTGCATGCCTGTGGTCCCAGCTACTTGGGAGGCTGACATGAGAGGATTGTTTGAGCCCAGAGGTTAAGGCTGCAGTGAGCCATGATCTCACCAGCGCACTACAGCCTGGGCAACAGAGTGAGACCCTCTAAAAAAGAAACCAAGAGACATGGCTTAAACCATGCCCAATGGACAACACATATATGAAGTACCAGAAAAGAAACAAAAGAAACAGAAAAAACCCAAAAGAAGGAATTAATAAAGAACAAAGCCAAAAATAACAGTAAGAAAATCATTAAACAGAATAAACAATAAATCTAAAAGCTGGGTTTTTGGTAGGAAAAAACTAAATAGGTAAACCACTAGCGAACATAACCACAAGGAGAAAGAGGAAGTACAAATTCAAATATGGCACTGTTTGTAACAGCAAAAGACTGGAAAGTCTGAAACTGTTAAATATAGTACATTCATCAAAAGAAACACTGCAGCTTTAAAATAGTGAACAAGGGAAATCCTTATGTCCTGAGATGAAAAGATATGTATAAGCTGCCTATTGTGTTAAAAACAGGAAATAAGAATCTATAATTGTATTTTCTTGCATACCCAAAAGAATCTTTGGGAGAATATATAAGCAAGATACTGATTTCCTACTGGGAGGAGCGGAAATTGAGGAGATAAGGCAAGGACAGGAAGAACACTTTTCATCATATAACGTTTTATACTTCTGGACTTTGAGCTATAGGGCTGCATTATTTATTATATAAAATTGCATACGACCAAGATTAATTCATCAAATATTTTAAGCTTGGAGTATAAGCCAAACATTATACTTGGTGTTGGAGATGTACAAAACGAAAAAATCGAGTCTTCATTCCTAAAGAGTTGATAGTTTCAAGTCTGGCAGAGAGACAGGAAGCAAATCAACAACTGGAATATAATGCGTCTAATTCTTCATAAGGACACACATTGAAAGTGCTATAAAGAACATCTCTATCTACATAAGGGAAAAGAAGAAGGCGCTGTTCATAGAAGATAGCTCTTGTGAAAGACTTAAAGGGTGAGTCAAAGATTTCCAGTGGGAAAATAAAGGACATCCCAGATAGAGCAGAAAGCAGCGACAAAGGCATGGAAGTAGAGAGAGCAAATGGTATTCGAGAAATCATTACAGATCAAGATTCTGCAGGAGGAAGAATGGCTAGAATTAAGACTGAAGAAGTTGAAAACCAGCTGGCTAAGAAAGGACCTTACCTATCCTGTTACTTAATTTTATCAACTTTTACATGATAGGCATTGTATTATGTGCTGGGTATAAAGAAGTAAACATGGCCTCCCTTCCTGCAGCTTACAGTCTAGTGGACAATGTCAAGAAATTTAAGAAGTTTTACCAAGAGTTTGACGCCATGACCTTTCCTGTCTTTGTCTATTTCCACATACTGCTGCCTCTGTCAACAATGCTATCTTACATTCCCATTTCCCGCCCATCCTGTATCTAGTAAATTCTTCTCAGGACTCAGATTAAATGACCCTTGCTCCAGGCAGTCTTCTCTGACTCCTCAGACTCAATCAGTTCCACCTGACACTATGCTTCATGCACACTGTGCTTCTTCTCGACAAAGGCACTTACAACTACTCTGTCTTCCTCTCCAAATCAAGCTGTGTGAATATGGGAACTAAGATGCATGAATATGGGAACTTTTTCACTAAGTACACAGCAGACCCTTATCGAATTATTTAATGAATGAATAAATTTTAGAATAACTTAATCTTTCCTGATTACCAGGCTGATTATAATATAATTAATTATATGCTTAAAATTTGTAAGACTGAGAGCTATTTCTCATGGCTCCAGAATACCTGCATCATTTTTTAATACTTGTGATAAACTGTTAGTTCATACTAATTTTTTTTTTTTTTTGAGATGGAATCTCGCTCTGTCATCCAGCCTGGAGTGCAATAATGTGATCTTGGCTCACTGCAACCTCTGCCTCATTGGTTCAAGCGATTCTCCTGCCACAGCCTCATGAGAAGCTGGAATTACGGGCATGCGTCATCACGACCAGCTAATTTTTTGTATTTTTAGTAGAGATGACATTTCATCATGTTATTCAGGCTGGTCTCAAATTTCTGACCTCAAGTGATGCACCTCCTGCCTCAGCCTCCCCAGTGCTGGGATTACTGGCGTGAGCCACCGCACCCAGCCTCAAGTTTGCATTTCTAACAGTTACTGATTTGCAGCTTTGTTATCTCCTGAGCTAAGCAGATAAATTCCATCATAAAGAATACTACTGGAATAAGACTAAATAATAGTACATGCTTTCTGAGGACTTTCTGTCTTGTCAGGGGCAAGAATGGGTCTTCAGAGAGAAGATGCTGTTTTATAAGCAAATTACTAAACCGCATGGTTTCTTTTGGTAACCAAGCCTTTTATTTTTGCTAGCTTTATTCTATGTAATAAATGTTGCAACAAAAATAAGTTCAGATAATTGTTGCTATACTTTTCTTCATTCAAATAGCCAACTGAAAAAAAAAATTAAGAAAACATTTCATTGTACAAGGTAAAGAAAAGACTCACTTGAAAAAAATTAGTCCAAGATACCGAAAGGAAAAAAATTTGAATTTTCATCTATTCCAGGTATACATCCCCCCTCTTTTTTTTTTCCCTCTTGTGGCCCAGGCTGGAGTGCAATGGTACGATCTCTGCTCACTGCAACCTCTGCCTGCTGGGTTCAAGCAATTCTCCTGCCTCAGCCTCCCAAGCAGCTGGGATTATAGGAACCCACCACCATGCCAGGTAAGTTTTTGTCTTTTTAGTAGAGACAGGGTTTCACCATGTTGGCCAGGCTGGTCTCAAACTCCTGACCTCAGATGATCCACCCGCCTTGGCCTCTCAAAGTGCTGGGATTACAGGCATGAGACACTGTATCCAGCCTTCCTCCCATTTTCATATACATGAAAATGGACTGTGTCTTAAAATCAAAGCCTTAAAATTAATGGAGAATATTTATTTTCTAGTTGTACGTAATAGTATACGTCAAAACTGTCAGCACCTTAAATTCTATTAAATGAAGTATATATACATATACACATACATATATATATAGTACACACACACACATATATATATGTTTTTTGTGTTTTTTTTGAGACGAAGTCTCACTCCATTGCCCAGGCTAGAGTGCAGTGGCTCATGCCTGTAAACCCAGCACTTTGAGAGGCCGAGGTGGGTGGATTACCTGAGGTCAATCTTGGATCAATACCACCTCCACCTCCCAGGTTCAAACGATTCTCCTGCCTTGGCACCCAAATAGCTGAGATTACAGGCACACACCACCACACTCTGCTAATTTTTGTATTTTTAGTAGAGACAGGGTTTCATTATGTTGGCCAGGCTGGTCCCGAATGCCTCATCACAAATGATCCACCCACCTTGGCCTCCCAAAGTCCTGGGATTACAGGTGTGAGCCACCATGCCTGGCCTGAAATATGTAATTTTATGTTATAAAAATATTCATCCATATGACTTCCTCAAATACATAATTCTTAACTATCTACTCACTACATTAACACATTACTTCTCCCTTTCACCACTAAAATGAATTAATAATGCTAACAAGAGATTAAAAAACTAATATGAAAGAAAAAAGACCAGTAGTGATTTGGTTTCACTGAGAAATCTTACCATATGGGCCTTAAGAGATCATGGGTTTCCATCAGTGAATGGACCACATTAAAATTTTGCTGAAGAAACCTTCAATGAAATCTCTTAGAATCCTTATCTTTTGGGGAAAGTATCTGTCTTAGCTATGTCATATGTAATCATCTTAATAGTTAACAAAATTATTTAATTATTCATTATTGAATAAACAGAAATAGATCTCCAGGATTCTAAGTTCAACAGTCTATGGGTGGTCCTGAAATGTTCAGGTCAAGTAGAAGTTTTAGTTTGTGAATATAATGTATCAGAATTCCCTAAAAGCATTATGCCACTGAATATGTGTCTTGAATTACTGGCAACATAATCATTACTGTGACTTCCAGTTTTATCCAATGAGTCTCTAGGCAGGCTATCACACCTCTAAACTATCATAATTACCTAAATAACTTGAAATTTTTCATTTAAACAGAAATCCGAGGACAAAATATACATTAGTCTGATCTTTGTACAAAATAAAAACTCTCCTAAAATTTTATGTTCCATTTATTACTTTTTCCTCAGAGGCAAAAATGCAAACCAACTGCTTCTAGCAATTCTTCTTGTTACGCTACTCTTAAATATTTTCTTTTAAAATAATTAGATATCAGAAGAAATATTCCCATTAGAGCTAACAAGCAATGAACAAAAATTAATGGGAAACAAGTTCTAAGAAATATGCTAATAATGCTAATAAACTAGAGTGAATAAAATCAAAAGACAAGCAAAATTTTTAAAGAAATAAGAAGTTTGATCTTACAACCATCACTACAGCATAAAAACACTAATAAACTTCTTTTCTAACACTTACCTTTGTCTAGGAACTATGAAGAGTGCCCGTACCAACTTCTTCCTGTTGGCTTTTGTGTTCATGTTCATGCAAAAATCCATTGCTGCCTATTAGGAAAAAGTAAACTTTTTCTTTAAAAACCTCTATTTAGTTACTGAAAACAGAAATCCTGCCTAGTACAATAACTTTATTTGTTCTTAAACATTTCAAAATGGTTTTAAGAAACTAGTATTGTTAGTATCAGAAAAGTTTTTTGATAAAACTCAAAAGTAGTAAGACTAGTTACCAAGAGCCAAGAAAATTACTAATGAGAATAAGGATAACCAAAAAGCAGTAAAGGTGACTGAGGAAAGAGAAAGAGGCAGGCACAAATCATACTCAAGAAGATGTAAGAAGAATAAGAAGTGTGCCCCAGATTCACTAAAAAAGTTTTGTGCCCACAGTAACATTTGGTAATGTTAGGGTTTAGAAAATAATAGCCCATATATGGCTCTTTAGCATGCTGAGTATTTCATTTAAACTAAGACAACTAGAAAGCCTGATAAGCAGCCTCAGTCAAGATCTCTGACTATCCTTTGTTTCTCTTCTCAAGTGTACGAAAGGGTGCTCTTTCTCCAAGATGTCTTAACTGACAGAGGAGAATTCTTCCAAAAGAAACTCAACTGTCTTCAATCCCCTGTCTAAAATTTCATAAAATGAGGAATTTATCTAGATGACCATTACCACCTGGACAGACGTTTTTCTGAGACAAGGTCTCACTCTGTCACCCAGGCTGGGGTGCAGTGGAGCAATCATGGCTCACTGCAGCCTTGATCTCCCAGACTCAAGTGGTCTTCCACTTGAAACGTAATAAAAATCACTCCTTGGCTGGGCACGGTGGCTCACCTATAATCCTAGCACTCTGGGAGACCGAGGCAGGTGGATCACCTGAGGTCAGGAGTTCGAGACCAGCCTGGCCAACACAGGGAAACCTCGTCTCTACTAAAAATACAAAAATTAGCCAGGTGTGGTGGTGCATGCCTGTAGTTCCAGCTATTCAGGAGGCTGAGGCAGGAGAACTGCTTGAACCCAGGAGGCACAGGCTGCAGTGAGCCAAGGTCACACCACTGCACTCCAGCCTGAGTGAGACTCCATCTCAAAAAAACACCACTCATTTTTATGGACTCACCAAGGAGACTCTTAAGTGACAGTGGCACTGATTTTTTTTAATTGCAAATGCATGGCAGTGAAAAATATAATAGTACTAGTATAATTTGGTACCACTACCTTGAATCACGCTAAAATGCCAGCAGCTCTACCCACCATCACTTTTGCAAATGTCAAAACATTAAAAAAGAAAAAAAAAATTTTAGTATTATCTTCAAAAGAAATTTGACTTCACAGAACCCCAGGAAGTGCCTCAAAAGCCACTAGGAATCCAGAGACCATAAATTTAGCACCTTTTATCTAAAACAATATTTTACAAACCACGGGATCCAGGTATAAAAAGGACAGGATGCTAGAGCCAATTCTCTAGCCAAACACAGGGTCTATGAATTATATCCAATTGTGTCTGCTTCTGTTGATTTACTAAGACTTCATTTAAAGAAATGGTTAGAGCTCAAATAGTCAGAAAACCATAGCCATTCCTTATCAGAGGACTCCTACAAGGTCTATGTGCTTGAGTAAAGTTACACGGAGACATCAATACCTTGTCTATCAGATCGCGGTTGACACAGTTGGGTAACTGCTGCAGGAAAGCATCTACTATGAGCTTGAGATGAGATCCAGTGCTGGCTTCCTCATCTTCTTGCTCTAATGTAAAATTAGTTTGTAAATAGGTTAAAAAAATAACCAGAGAGCACAGAATAAAAACAACCAATGATGAATTATTTCAAAAACAGATAATCTAGACCCATTTTTGTGCCCAGGAAAACATTAGTCATTTCTTAGGATATTATCCTAGAATGTTTAGGTAACTCTAGAATCATCACATCGAGTCACTACAGTCTTTCAGGTATCAATATAAAAAGTCAAACTTTTTGCATTAGACAAAAAAACTTGGTCAGAAAAAGCATGCAGTGTTAAAGTAAATGTTATTTGTATCTGCCTGGCCTCCCTTCCCCAATGTTCTTCAATTAACAGCACTCCCAATTCTTGCCTTTGAAGAACTAAGCCCCCCTATTCCATGTGATTCTAAGTGGGGTGGCTACTGCCAATCAAAGTACAAAACACAACCATTTCTCTTGGCCACATGGGTGAACAGAACACAAGACTTGCCAGAGTCCTTCTGTGATATTTATATACAGACTGTGGGAGAAAAATTCTTTTTCCTCTGATGTCACTATTGGGTATAAAGCCTGGGGTAGCCTCCAGCCATACCTGTCCTCCCTGGATTACATAGAGAAAGAGTCTGCAATAAGATAAAGCCAACAGAGAAAAAAGCAGTATTGACAGAAGCTGTCCTTCTAATAAAGAATCTTGGCCAGGCATGGTGGCTCATTCCTATAATGCCAGAGCTCTCGGAGGCTGAGGCGGGAGGATTACTTGAGGCCAGGAGTGCAAGACCAGCCTGGGCAACACAGCAAGATCCAGTCTTTACAAAATGTAAAATAAAATAATAAAATAAAATTAGCTGGGTGTGGTGGTGCATGTCTATAGTCCCAGCTACTTGGAAGGGTGAGGTAGGAGGATGACTTGAGCTTGGGAGTCTGAGGCTATAGTGAATTATGATCATGCCACCGCACTCCAGCCTGGGCAAGAGTGAGGTCCTGTCTCAAAAAAAAAAAAAAAAGAAATAACAGAATCCTAGCTAATCAACTCAAAACTCGATAGGAAGTATTTAGGGAATAAATATAATATTTGTATTACTAAATACAAAATACAACTCGATTATAAAGACAGATAAAATTAACAGATGAACTGGCAAACTAATTATATTCCCACCTATTAATCATTTCAGAATAACTTTCAAATACATTTATTTGTAAAGATAATGTCATGGAATTAAATCAATCAGGAGAATGCTAGCAAGTCTCAGAAAAGTATAAGTATCTTTTTTTCATCATAGAAGGGACAACAAGAAAAATATAATTTAAGATATTCAGAACTAATATTTTTTAAATTAAGATGATCACTAAAGTTCACAGACACATAATACTGGGGTATGTAGTGTACTGTTATAAATCAAATTCCAAAAACAGTGATAGACTGAAAACAACAGAAAAACAAGGAATTACAAAATACAGAATTAAGGAGAAAAGATCTACATTCATAGGCAAGAGCTCTGTGTGTGTGAAAAGCAATCAAAAAGGAATGTCAGTAAAACAGTTCTTTACCTTGCTCATCAAGAAGTTTCTTTGTAAGATCTTCAGCTTCATCTCCGCCCTCTAACTCTAAGGTGTCATCATTAATTTCTAGATTCTCCAACTCAAGTTCCAAATCATCAGGACTTGATACCTCCTTATTATCCTTAGATTCTTTTGCCTCTGTTTGAAAACCAAACAAGTATATCTAAATTCAAAGTCATATTAAAATTCTGCTGCAAAAAAGTAGATAAAGACTCACAAAATCTGCAGCACTTCTTTTAGAACCTGCATGTGTACCTGGCAAATGAAGTTAATATATTTAGATTTTATAAAATACATTATGCTCAGCTGGGCGTGGTGGCACATTTCTGTAATCTCTGCACTTTGGGAGGCCAATGAGAGCGGATCACCTGAGGTCAGGAGTTTGAGACCAGTCTGATCAACATGGTGAAACCCCGTCTCTACTAAAAACACAAAAATTAACCGGGTATGGTGGCACATGCCTGTAATCCCAGCTACTTGGGAGGCTGAAGCAGGATAATCACTTGAACTAGGAGGCGGAGGTTGCAGTGAGCTGGGAGGGCACCATTGCACTCTAGCCTGAGCAAAAAGAGTGAAACTCCATCTCAAAAAAAAAAATGCTCATTAAGAACAAAGGCTATACCTTCTTCGATTACATATAACATTTGTTCACTGAAGAGATGTATGGATGACTGGATGGAGAGATCTATGCATGGATGAGGATTTACATGGGGTGAGGATCTATCTATGCTAAAGATGAGGGGATACAAAGCTGATTAAACTGTACTCAAATTAAGAAGGTTCTCAAACTCCCAGATAAGGAGTTGAGAATTTCCCCTTTATGCAAGAGATAACATTTTAAAAGTGATCTCAGGTGAAAATTAACGTAGCAGCAATATATAAAATCAATTACAAAGTCAGAAAAGGGTAGATGTAGAAAGATCAATTTGAAAAATATCCTTATCATTTCACAGTGAAGGGTTAGAAAAAACCAAAAAATGAAACACAACAAAGGAAAATGGCCAGGAATTGGTAAACAGCAAAATAGGAAGAATAAAAAAAGAAAGAGAAACCAAACCTTAGTTGAATAAGACTGACAAAATGTTAATAAATGAAGTTGACTGATAGGTGAATGCAAGTTCACTATACCAGCCTTCTTTCGTGTTTGAAAATATTTGGTAAATAAAAAACAAAAACCAATAAAACCTGAGTTCAAGAATGTATATTTAAACTGAAAGTATGCTATTTCTCAGCTTCATCTCTTATAGTCTCTAATCTCCTAATTTCTGCATTGAATACAGAAATGCCTTGCTGATGCTTGATGCCGTATCTTATTTTGGAGGATGAAAATTCTAACTAGTAAGAATTGGTTTTGCTACCTCTAGATGAAAAACCACCACTACCTTCTCATTCATTCATTTTTTCATCCTACCTTTATTCAATTCCTACTATGTGCTAGGTATTGTTCTAAGCACCACAAATACACCTGTTGAGTACAACAGAGAAAAACTCCTGCCCAGATGGAGTATGCATTCACTCTCCAATGTCCCCTGATGTCTGGCTACTAAAACATCTACTGATCAGCTACTACATGTTCAGAATGATGCTAAGCTGTCAAACATTACGAAAAAAGCTTGAAATGCAACCCTTGCTCTCAAAAAACATATAATTTATCTGAGGAAATTAAACTAATATGCATAAAGTAGTCAAATAGGGTATGGTGGGAGAGGGTTCCAAGCAGAAAACAGAACAATGCAAGAAAGCAAGAAGATGGGCTCATTTCAGAGACTGAGAAGAAAGGTAAATTAAAGGTAAGAGAGTTGGAACGGTAAACTTGAAAGAAACCATGCAGGGCCCGAGAGATGATGTTAACAATTTTAAATGATATTCCAAGTACGTGTAAAGTTATTAAAGGACATTAGGTAGTTAGGAGAGTAAAATTTATGTAAGAAAGCGCAGGCCAGGCTTGGTGGCTCACCCCTGTAATCCCAGCACAATGGGAGGCAGAGGTAGGTGGATCTCCTGAAGTCAGGAGATCAAGACCAGCCTGACCAACTTCGTCTCTACTAAAAATGCAAAATTAGCCAGGCGTGGTAGCGCTCTCCTGTAATTCCAGCTACTTGGGAGGGTGAGGCAGGAGAATCACTTAAATGTGGGACGTAGAGGCTGCAGTGAACTGAGATCACGCCACTGCACTTCAGCCCAGGCAACAAAAGCAAAACTCCATTTCAAACAAAACAAAACAAAAAAAACGAAGCAGACAAGAAAACAAGAGCAAAGACAGGGCAACCAGGTAGGACGTATTATAGTAACCCAGGTAAGAGAAAATGGGAGTTAGATTAGAATACCATCGGCAAATACAAGACAAACCTGAGAAACATGATATAACTGGCATTCAGAAAATTCCACTCTATTAACGACCTAAAAGCTCTGACTTCTCTAAAGTAACTCTTCTTCACAAGAGTTGGTTCTATCTTGGCTAGAAATGGCAGAACAGGTAACGAGCACCACAGAGCTAACAACTGCCCTAACAATGTACCTGGGGGAAATACCTTATCTATTCTCACATACAGTACTTCTCTCCAAATGAGAATTATAAATAGAATAATTACATAGATTAAAATTAATCCTAAGAAACATCAGATTATTCGTTAAATGTCATTAGGAAAATAAGAATACCAAAACACAGGAAATGCACCTGTCTGACCAAGACCTCACAGGAATTTACTACAAGACATTATAAACAAACACTTCAAATTAATTCACATTAACTTAAATGTATCAGTATGTTAAAAGTATGTGAGTTGTCATCCTTTAATGCTCCATTCCATATAATGCTGTCACTTATTTAATCTAATGACCTCAATGTTCATATTACAAAACTAGTAATTACAACTTTTTTAAAAAAATACTATTTTGAAGCTAATTCTTGTAGCATTTAATGTAAATATTTTTTCTCTAGAATTTACCTTTGGTATCATCTTTGTTGGACTCTTTATTCTGACAACTTTTTTCATTGTCTTTAAACAAGATGGCTGGGACAAAAGCCTTCAAATCAATGAGGTTCTCATAAAAATTCCGAGCGTCTTCATCTTCCCAGATACCACCTTCCAAGTCATATTCTCCAGGTTTACCAGGTGTGAATATATCAATTCCAGGCCCATGTTCTACAATAAAATAAGTCACAAATAATTAACATCACTTGGAGTTATAGCATGCTAAACATGAGTGACTTTCTGTTTTCAGTTTTATAGCTATTGAATCTTGAATGTTTCAACTGACAGGAACTTCTTCAGTCAAAAAACACAGGTGGCCATTTTGAACGCCAAGTCAAAAATCACGGGCCATGCGAGGTGGCTCACATCTGAGATCCCAGCACTTTGGGAGGCCGAGGCAGATGGATCACGAGGTCAGGAGTACAACACCAGCCTGGCCAAGACAGTGAAGCCCCATCTCTACTAAAAATACAAAAAAATTAGCCAAGCTTGGTAGCATGCACCTATAATCCCATTTATTCAGGCGGCTGAGGCAGAGAGTTGCTTAAACCCGGGAGGCAGAGGTTGCAATGAGCCAAGATCATGCCACTGCACTTCGGCCTGGGCAACAGAGACTCCGTCTCAAAAAAAAAAAAAAAAAAAAAAAATTGTTTTTTAAGTAAAGCTCTATAACAAAACAGACTAGAAAACAGCGTAAAGATTTTTTTCTCTTAAATTTGTTTTAAGCAATTAATATGAGATTAAGTAGCCATTTGATAAATTAGGTCTATTTTCGTGAAACTTAAAATCAAAAAATAAAATATATAAGCCTGGCCACTCCTAAGATATCCAGTTTAAAGTCCGACCTCCCTTAAGAAGCATTTTTTTTTTTTTGGTAACTCATAATCCAATATACTATTTACATCACACTTATATACCATTTATATCTCCAAAAACAAACCATAAACCTTTAATTAAGAAGCATCCCTCCTTTGGCATAATCCTTGGCACATGGTATATTGCCAACCTACATGGTATTTTCAACCTACAATAATCAAAAGGGTCAGAATCTAGTTTTAAGGAGAGTTTATTCAATTGCAAAGTTTGAGGACAGCCTCCCAGGAAGCACAGATTCCAAAGAACAGAAGTCAGTGTTCCAAAGTGTAGAAGTTTGAGATTGTTTATATAGACAAAGTTTAATTTCAACATCTTTCCACATAAGGCTTAATGCAGTTATAACTATCTGATTAGTAGAGGTGGTCTTTTTTGGGAAAGGAATATACACACTATATAATTCTGTCTCCAAGGCTTAACTTCCCCCTTGCTATTATAAATTTAGACACTCCTGAAATTTTCTTTTTTCTTTTGAGACAGAGTCTTGCTCTGTCACCAGGGCTGGAGTGCAATGGCACAATGTCAGCTCACTGCAACCTCCGCCTCCCAAGTTCAAACAATTCTCCTGCCTCAGCCTCCCAAGTAGCTGGGAATAGAGGTGCCCGCCATCACACTGGGCTAAATTTTTGTATTTTTAGTAGAGATGGAGTTTTGCCATGTTGGACAGGCTGATCTCAAACTCCTGACCTCAGGTAATCCACCCGCCTTGGCTTCCCAAAGTGCTAGGATGTCAGGCATGAGCCATCATGCCTGGCCTTTATTTATTTATTTTTTAAATTAAGACAGGGTTTCACTCTGTTGCCCAGGCTGAAGTGCAGTGACATGATCATGGCTTACTGTAGCCTCGAAATCCTGGGCTCACACAATCCTCCTGCCTCAGCCTCTTGAGTAGCTGAAACTACAGGCACGCATCACCAAACCCAGCTACTTTTTTCTATTTTTAGTAGAGATGGGGTTTCATCATGTTGCCCAGGCCGGTCTCAAACTCTTAAGTTCAAGGGATCCACCGGCCTCAGCCTCTCAAAGTGCTGGTATTACAGGCATGCGTAACCACCCTCAGCCTTTATTTTCTTGTACGCCATAAATGTCAGTCAATTGATAAATAACTGGAAAAGAAGGGAAGAAAGATAAAATGTATAGATTTCTTATTAGAGAGTGGAACCTATGCACATATTTACACACATGCAGTACTTACAACTATAGATCACAAACCCAGAACACTGAAAAGAATTAATTTCTTACTTCATAATCATGAGCCCATTCATGAACTTATCTATTCTCACATACTTCTCTCCAAACAAGAATTATAAATAGAATAATTATGTAGATTAAAATTAACCCTAAGAAAAGTTAGATTATTCTTTAAATGTCATTTAGGAAAATAACATCAAAAACAAAACAACACTGGCTCCTTGAAACTCCTTTCTTTCCTTACAGAAGATATATTTAAACAGACTTATTAGGACACTAAAGCCATACACAAAAAAGAAAAACACTGACATATGTACAACTACTGTTTAATGAAAAGTATAAACAAAAGCAAAAAACCAGAAGACAATATTGACAATATTTACTTTAAAGAACACATCTATAATATATAAAGCATGGTATAATAAGAAATATATTTGGTGTTAGTTCTTGGTTCCTGGCAGACCTCCTAAAACCCTTGGAATTTCCTGACAGGAATGTTTTTTGTTATTCCGAATAAACCCCTTTTTGATCACACATCAGCTGATGCTACTGAGGTGACTGAGGGTGGAGTCTCTATATAGTCTCAGGATGAAGTTAGTCACCAGAAAGACCAAGTGATTACAGGATTAGAACTCTGAGCCCCACTCACCCACCCATCTATGAAGCAGAGAGTCCTCACCAGATACCAACTTGGCTGGCACCTTGATCTTAGACTTCCCAGACTCCAGGCTGTGAGCAATACATTTCTGTTGTTCATAAATTGCCCAGTGAGCAGGGGGTGGTGGCTCACACCTGTATTCCCAGCACTTTGGGAGACCAAGGTGGGCGGATCACCTAAGGTCAGGAGTTCAAGACCAGCCTGGCCAACATGGTGAAACCCCATCTCTAAAAAAAAATAAAATAAATAAATTGCCCAGTCTAGGGTATTTTGTTAAAGCAGCCTGAAAAGACTAAGACTAACACTAAGACTACCCAGGTGTTAAAAGGAATGAGATGTATCTACATGAACTGACTCAGAAAGTGCTCAAAAATACAATATTGAAACAATAAAGGAAATCATGCAAAATAATATCTTACCTAAGTTAGTCTCACTCTATCACAAGGCTGGAGTGCAGTGGTATGATCTCAGCTCACTGCAATCTCCACCTCCCCGATTCAAGTCATTCCCCTGCCTTAGCCTCCCAAGTAGCTGGGACTACATGTACTACCACGCCGGCTAATTTTTTGTATTTTAGTAGAGACGGGGTTTCACCATGTTGGCCAGGATGATCTCGGTCTCCTGACCTCGTGATCCGCCAGCCTCGGCCTCCCAAAGTGCTGGGATTACAGGCATGAGCCACTGTACCTGGCCAACTTTCACTTTTTAAACTATAATATGTATAAATATTTTGTGTATCTAAAAAATAACATAAATCATAAAAAAGAAATTCAATTTCTGAGAGGCAAAAACACTACCAAGTCAAAAGCAATAAAAATAGGAAAATTAGAGGCACTGAACAAGAGAAAAAGAGAGGAGGCATATGGCAATGCATATTAAAAGTATAATTTCCTTAATATACAAAGTGCTTTTTTTAATAGATGGAATCTCACTCTGTCACCTGGGGAGAGTGCAATCTCAGCTCACTGCAACCTCCGCCCCCTGGGTTCAAGCAATTTCTCTTACTTCAGCCTCCCCAGTAGCAGGGATTATAGGCACACTCCACAACGCCTGGCTAATTTTTGTAATTTTAGTAGAGATGAGGTTTCACCATGTTGGCCAGGCTGGTCTAGAACTTCTGACTTCAAGTGATCCACCTACCTCGGCCTCCCAAAGTACTTTTATAAATCAATTTTTTTTTTTTTTTTTTTTTACAGATACTAGAGGATAAAGGGCAGAGAGTGGGGAGTATAAAAGGTTCAAATAGGAATCTCACAGGGAAAATAATACATTTATGAAACAGCCAATAAACGTAAAGATGCTAAAACCTGACTTCAAATTTAAAAATTAAAAATTGCAATATGGTAAGAGTGTAAAGAAATAGTCATTCTCATATATTTAGTGGTGCGTACATTTCTTTTTTTTATTATTTTAAGTTCCAAGACACGTGCAGAATGGGCAGGTTTGTTACATAGGTAACGGTGGTGGTTTGCTGTACTTACCAACACTTCATCTAGGTTTTAAATCCCACATGCATTAGGTATTTGTCCTAATGCTCTCCCTCTCCTTGCCCCCTACCCCACAACAGGCCCCATTGTGTGTTGTTCCCCTCCCTGTGTCCATGTGTTCTCACTGCTCAATTCCCAGTTACAAGTGAGAACATGCACTGTTTGTTTTTTTTCCTGTGTTAGTTTGCTGAGGATGATGGCTTCTAGCTTCATCCATTTCCCTGCAAAGGACATGAACTGATTCTTTTTTGATGGCTGCATAGTATTCCATGGTATATATGTACTACATTTTCTCTATCTAGTGTCTATCATTGATGGGCACTTGGGTTGGTATAGGTTTATTTAATAGAAAATACGGCATTATATGTTGAAATTTAAGATGCATATATTCTCTTAACCCAAGAATTCTATTTCTAGGAATGTATCCTGTAAATACTAGCATGTATACAGAAAGAAACAGGTTCAGAGATTTTATTACAGCACTGACAATAATAGCCAAAAACCAGAAATACTAAGTGTTAATCAACAAAGGACAAGTAAATTATAGCACAATCATACAACAGGATGTTACTATATAGTAACTGAAAAGAATTAGATGGCACTAATGCATTAATATGAAAAAAATCTAAGACATATGAGTAACTGAATAAAGGATATTCTGATCACTAAACAACGTAAACCTCCTCCTGAAGTATTGTATCAGTGACCCAAAATAACTAAAGATTCAAGCAAACAATATTGAAACAATAGTTTTCAAACGCTGGACATTAGGCGGTATAGGAAAATAATCCCTGATTGAGAGCAGACAAAAAAAACGGAGCTCTACAATTGCCCTAGCTTACTGTGTAAAGAGATTTTCCAGGCTGTGGCCAAGTAAGAGAGAAGCCAGGCAGGACCAAGCATCTCCCTGAGTTGAAGATGAGAGCTGAGAGTCTGATAAAACTCTACCCAAGGCAGCTAGAGTTCCCGGGACAGAGTACCAGAGAGGAGAAACCAGCACAAAGATAGACTTCAAAAGATTTGCAGACTTTCCTTGAACATTCAGCTGAGTACTGATCATCTCCTATGTATAAGGAAACAAAATGTTCACCTGAACACTGATCAGCCCCTATGTGTGAGGAAACTAGGTAAGACTGGAAAAATAACTACTGAAAGGGACTGAGACTCACAGAGAAGTTCATGGGACCAGGAATAGTCTGTATACCCACGAGACTGAAGAATCTTCTATGACTCTACTTTATCAGATACAGTCCAGAAGGGTACTGCCTCAGTATTAGGAAAAATTAGCCCTAGATTAAAGGCTGCTCTCATACCTCCTAACAAAGCATCCTTTGAAAGATGAAACTATTTCCAAGTAACTTAACTGCATCCCAAGACAAAGCTTAATGATATTTATAATACAAAAATATCTAGGACACATCCAATAAAACATGAGCAGGCAGGCAAAGAAGTAGAAAAATTATCAGACATGCAAAGGAGGTCAGTCAACTGCTATCAAGTGAAACCAACTCAGAAATGACAAATGACAAAATTGGTAGACAAGGACATTGAAACAGTTATTTTAACTGTATTTCATACGTTCAACAAGCTAGAAGACAGATTGAACATGTCAGATACAAAGAAAGTATGTCCAGATAGAGAGATAAAAACGGTATCTCTAAATGAAATTAACAGTTATTAGACACTGTAGAAGAAAATATTAGTGAACTTGAAGACCTAACAAGAGAAATTATCCACAAGGAAAGGAAAAAAAAATAATGAAGAACAAAAAGGATAGGGCATCAGTGAGCTGTGGGACAACACTGAATAACCTAAAATAATTGTAATTGAGTCCCTATAGGAGAGGAGACAGAAAAAAGAGAAAACATAATTGAAAAATAAAGGTCAGGGCCAGGCGCGGTGGCTCACACCTGTAATCCCAGCACTTTGGAAGGCCGAGGCGGGTGGATCACAAGGTCAAGAGACCGAGACCATCCTGGTCAACATGGTGAAACCCCGTCTCTACTAAAAATACAAAACATTAGCTGGGCGTGGTAGTGCGTGCCTGTAATCCCAGCTACTCAGGAGGCTGAGGCAGGAGAATTGCCTGAACCCAGGAGGCGGAGGTTGCGGTGAGCCGAGATGGCGCCATTGCACTCCAGCCTGGGTAACAAGAGCGAAACTCCGTCTCAAAAAAAAGAAAAAGAAAGGTCAAGATTTTCCTAATTTGATAACTACACACCCACAGACCCAAGAAGTTCAAGGAACCACAAGTACAGGAAACAAAGAAAACCATACCAAGCTACACCATAACTAAACTGCTTGAAATCAGTGATAATGAAAAATTTTAAAGCAATGAGAGAAAAAATATATAGATTATATAAATAAGAACAAAGGTAAGAAGAGATAGGAGCATTCTTGGTGGAATAGTGCAAGCTAGAAGACAGAGGAGTAACGTCTTTAAAGTACTGAAAGAAAAAAAATTATTGCCCTTAATTTCTACGTCTAATGGAAAAAAAATTTTTCTAAAAAGACAGAGTCTCACTCTGTTACCCAGGCTGGAGCACCTGATGTGATCATTATCTAACTGTAACCTTGAACATCTAGGCTCAGGCAATCTTCCCATCTCAGCCTCCCAAGTAGCTAGGACTACAGGCTTGTGCCACATGCCTGGCTAATTTGTTTTTATGTTTTTAAATTTTTCATAGACAGGGTCTTGCTATATTGCCGAGGCTAGTCTCAAACTCACCTCAAGCAATCGTTCTGCTTTGGCTTCCCCAAGCACTGGGATTACAGGCATGAGCCACCATGCCTGGCCAAAAAGATCTTTTAAAACAATGATAGGGCTGGGCATGGTGGCTCATGCCTATAATCCCAGCACTATGGGAGGCCAAAGCAGGTGGATCATGAGGTCAAGAGATCGAGGTCATCCTGGCCAACATGGTGAAACCTCGTCTCTACTAAAAATATAAAAATTGGCTGGGTGGCAGTGCACACCTGTAGCCCCAGCTACTCGGAAGGCTGAGGCAGGAGAATCGCTTGAACCTGAGAGGTGGAGCCTGCAGTGAGCCAAGATCATGCCACTGCACTCCAGCCTGGCGACAAAGGGGAAAAAAAAAAA